AGAAAAAGGACAAATTGAATATTTTTCACAACAGATCAATATCTATTCCGAGTTCCACTCCTAAGTTACTCAAGAGACTTATGTTGTATATTTCTCCTACCATTGATTTCCTACCATCTGACTACCAACTTCAGGAAATCAATATCAATCACAACCAATTTTGCCATAATATGTCACTTCAAAGCTGAATCACTGGACCTCGAAGGACTTGTCAACATTATTTATGCTGATTTGGCCAAAGCGTTTGATCGAGAGGATCATAAAATCCTTTTATCCAAACTCTTCAAACTTGAATTCATAGACCCATTTTTGTCACAGTTATGGATCTACTTCACCTGAAGAATACAATTTGTCCATTTCAAAGGTGGCAACCTATACAATGTTCCCTTTGATCAGTCTCAACTATCTCAACTTGGCCCTTTATTTTTCCAAATCTTGATTAACAATTTGACATCAGTTATTATATATCCAGTAAGGAGCAGGTTATTCTACTCTGCAATTCAAAAGTAGAATTCTACTCTTTGCCAATGACATAAAAATTTACTCCAGAATCTGTAATGCTACTGATGCCCGTAATCTCACTTCTCGCTTGGTGCTTCAACAACAATATGCAACTAAACATAGAAAAGCGCAATATCATAAGATACACCCCAAATCATTATCTTTACATAATAAACTACCATCCCCTTCATATCGTTGACAATACAATGGACCTTGGGTGCACGCTTAAACTTCAACCTGCATTTTCAACTAACTTGCAGTAAGGTCAGAAGGATGCTTGGATTCATGCTGACGAACTCTTAAAACTTCTGTAATATTGAGACTCGCAAGCTGCTATTTTCTGCCTTTGTTATCTTGGAATACACAAAAGGAATCTGCACACCACATACAGAAGCATCTTCTACCCTACTAGAAAGTGTTCAAAACAGATTCCTGTTGACATCTTGCATATATTAATGGCACACCAATGTCTACACTAAATCATAATTATGAGACCATACAGATGCAACTAGATATTCCTACACTAACTATGAGAAGATTGTTTCATGACATTTTTCTGCATTCCATCATTGTAAGTAATATTATATGTCCTCATAACTTGTCTCAAGTATAGTTCAATGTTCCTCAGTGCAGCAATAGACTTCACATGCCATTTTATTTTACAAGCATCATGACAACTTAATTATTTGTACTTTGATCTTATCAACAGACTATGACTTGAAGCCAACAAATTTTGTGACAATGTTGTTTTGAACAGTGACCCTACAAAATTCTGTAACTCTTAAAAATTGCCTTAAACATATAACTGAATATTACTTGATATTCTTTGCTACAGAAATTTTCTCTTACATTTCATGACAAGTTGTGTGACATTTTGTACACATATCATACATAAGAAAATATTGATTGTACACAGATAAAAGAAACAGTATGTATTGATTATATCTCAGTTTGTACATATCAGTCAAAATTAGCATAATTATGAGTATCCAAACTATTACTAAACGTGTTCAGGGTATCGTTTCCAACACCATCTGCTGGTAATGCACTCCATACATTGACAACCCGATTAACAATAAAATGCGATCTCTGTCCTATCCTTGTTCTTTCTTTTCATAGCTTTGTGTGGCCACATAGTCTAGACTTCATGGATCTTGTAAAGAAAGCATCGTACCCTGGTGTATTATAGGAACCATTTAGAATCTTATATGTTTCTATCATATCACTCCTGGTCCTTCTCTGTTTCAGTGTCAACAAAGTAGGCATCTTGCTCGATAGTCAGCTCGATAAGCTTCTCTTGGAATCCTTGTGATTTGCTTCTGTACCTTTTCTAAGTATAGGTGTTGTGGTAGGATATCTTTGGCATTTTTAAAATAATTAAAGATGTTGTCATTGCCAACAATGTTTTTTAATTCAAAAGCAGCTTTCGATGGCTAAGCCATCGAAAGCTGCTTTTGAATTAAAAAACATTGTTGGCAATGACTTTTCTAAGTGCTTGATGTCCGTGTAGTACAGGGACCATACCACATTGGCATACTCAAAAGTATAGGTCTTATATACATTACGTAAAACTTCTTTATATTGGACGAGTTCAGGTTGGAAATTGCCTTTCCCATCAAATACAACACTATGTTTCCTCATCTGGTGAAAGCAGCAACTTTACTTTCTCACTTTAGATCCTGAGGGATAAGTACACCCAAATCCAGTAATGAAATAAGTAACATTAATTTATTTATTTTATACAATAGGTCTTAAGAACATATTACACAATGTGAAATTTGTCATTACTCTCACGAGTATTACTACTATTTTTTGATACTCTTAACCGATTTAAGAATTATTTTATTTTATTTTTATGTACAAAAGTTCAGCGGGTTACCCAATTAAAGGACTAACTGTATAACTATATACATTTCAAGACTGAATGTACAAATGCAAAATATAATGCACGCAGGGTTTGAATATTTCCGAATTTCCTACAAGTTGTCATTAGGTATCCAAGTGATTCATTTGCAGAATTAACAACACTTTCAATATGGGATTTAAAAGTTGGTTGGTGATCAAAGATAATACTTTTATGCGGCTAACTCTCATAAGAACTGTACTAGAAATAAAGTAATTATAATTAACAAATTACAACCTATAAAATGACATCACACTACACTTATCTGCGTTAAGTATCAATTTATTACGCATGCACCAAGAGACAAAAATATTTACGTTACACTCCAAATTATCACTATCTGTACTGTCTTGATAGGCAAAAAAAGCTTAATGTCATCTGCATAGATTAATGTAACATACTAGCAAGCGAACCTCGTGGCAGCTATTTGGGGACGGGCAGTAAGTGATTAGCAACAGGAAACCACTTCGCCACAGGAGGGAGAGAAGAGTTTTTCCTAAAAGCAAACATGTGGCAAAGGGAGACACAAGGCTATAGGGTCCTCTGGTCTTAGTGAAAGGAGACCCAAACCTGAGGACAAGCGTCGTATGTCATGTGAGCCACAAATATATAAGGGAGCGCTTAAAGGGGGCGAGGGGGGGGGGGGTTCTGAAGACAGTGGGAAAATCTCGTGCAGATGCACAAACTTTGCACCACGGCAGTGCGGCGGCAAGCAGGGCTTGGGGGCAAGTCACGTGTTGAAGTGCCAGTGGAGACTTTGTGTTCTTGGGTGACTACGGTCACGTGAGAGTGATGCCGTGTGAGTGCTCCGAGGTGAGGAGTACTTGAGAGCCACGACTCGCACCGATTCAGTATCGGGTAAGATCGCTTCTACAATCAAGGCAAACCAACAGTTGGTACGCCGGTATGGACTTTGTGTCCTAATGTGACATCCGGTCATGGAAGCTTGGCTTTGTGCTCACTCCAGATGTAGGAGTGGCGAGTGCCACAATTGAAACCGATTGTCAATAGAGTTGGAATCACTCCCGCGATAAGGGGATAGGAGATCTATCAGAGTTAGGGTGTAGAGTGTAAATTAATTGTAAATATTGGTTGTTTTTCTTGTAAATAAATATTTGGTAATATGAAAGATCATGTCTGTGTTCGCTGTGAGTATCCATGACATCGCATTAACAATGACAAGCAAGTTCATCAGCAACAATAGCAATAGCAAAGAGTATGTGGCGCAAATTAGATCCTTGGGGTAGTCCAGAACTAGGAGAATGAGGACTGGTGCCCAGCATATTCAACATAATTAATGTGCGATTCTAAATAAGATTCAATAAAACTGTAATAATTTGGTGGTACGTTTAGTAAATGCTGACAATTTTGCATAATAACATTATGGTTTAGAGTATCAAATGCCTCTGTGTTTTCGGTACAGATTACATCTACCTGAACAAGCTCTACCAAATACAAAGAAATAATTTGTGCAAAAGTGAAAAGATTAGTAAGAGTAGATTTTGCCTTGATAAAACCATGTTGATTATCTGAAATACATGGCAAAAGAGCTGCATATAAATATGATTCTCTGAAATTTTTGAAAAATTGGGTAGAATAAGACGATAGTTTTCAATTACAACCTAGTCAACTTTTTTAAAAAACTAGACAGATTTTCATGTGTTTCCAGAGATCTGGAAAGGTACCTGTAGAGAGTGCTTTCTTGAAAATCAACAACAAAGGGAAAACAAGTGATTCTGAACATCGCTGAGCAAAATTGAGGGTATATCATCTAAGCCAGAACTTAATTTATTGGGCATATTTTTAAATTTATAAAATATAAATTCTGGATCAATATATGAGATATTTTCCAATAAGCCATCAGTATGACCAATTTGAGATTGATGAAAAGGATCTACATTTGTAGACGATTGAGTTGTAGAATATGTAAAATAATTTACATTAGTCTTGGGATCAGGGCATTTCATTAAACTAAGGCACTTTGGAATGCAAGTAAATTCAGATTTGGACATTGTCAGAGACCAAAATCACAATGAATTTTATTAATTACATCTGTTTCAATACGCCTATTGTTGTCTGCATATAGAACTTCAATATTTTTTTTACTGTAGCACTTAAAAGTTTGATATCTTGATATCAAAAAGAAGGTCACTATTTCCTGTGAATTTATATGCAAGTTAATTTATTTACTCACTCCAACCTTTGTATGGGAAATATCCCATAAATAAATGAATTAATTATGTTCAACTCAAGCTTTTAGATAGGTCTCAATCAGGTTTGCATGCCTATATCTCAGAGGTCAAAAATCATAACTTCATTTTTAGTTATTGTGAGTTTTCGATATCGTAATAATAGCAAGAAAGAAATGTACTGAAGATGCTCAGTTGTAATCTCCAACTTTATTAGGATTAATTTAATACTGTAAAAAGAAGCTGTAAATCCACTATTACAACAAAGGGATCAGCTTTATCAGATCCTCCAGTAAAGTATAGAAATTATGAGTTGTGATTCTTGACCTCTCAGATTCAAGCATTACACATCAATGTAACCATTATAAAATTATAAACTGAGATTATAAGCAATGATTTTGACTTACCAGTACTGTCAAAACCCAAAATATCATTTCCTACAGAGCTGGTTCTACCAGATTCCATCTCGTGCTTGTGCCTGAATAATCTTTGACGAGCATGTCCTCGGCCATTATCTAATTCTCCATGAGTCAGGACACCCAACAGAGTGGACTTACCGGCATCAACATTACCAACAACAGCAACTCTAAAAAGCAAACATGAAAACATTCAGTGTGATTGCCCAAAAGCAATATGGTTAATGTGTTTTTCCATTTCTAAAGACCTGATTTCCAAGAAATCTTGCTGATCAATTCTTCTTCTAACAAGGAATTGACCTGTAACACCATCTTCCCCTTTTCTCAAGCGAAGAAGCACACAATCAGCATTTAATGCTGATGAAAGGGCTTGCAATGTTGCCACAGAGGATTCATACTCTTCTTGCTTCAAGCCACTCTCACAGTCATCTGTTATTTAAATAAATACAGTGAGTATGTTTAAGTAGACAAGCCTATACACACTAGTCTACTTAATTTTACAAGTTAATGCTTGTCTGCATGTTGAATATACATTTTTCTATTTCATAAACCAAAAATAGAGCCTTGAAAGGAATTAAATATTAATGTATTGAATTACATTTTTAAAATGTATTCTCGGTACTAACCATCTCCATATCCCACATCATATATTGTTTCTCCTCGCCCATCATTCAATCTATCAGCCAGTTTTTGAAGAAGAAGATCAAACTGCTGTTCATTAGGGCTCACTAAAACAGTCTTTTGAAAATAAAAAATTGTTTTTCAGAATTAATCGACATCAATGAGAAATATATTTTTATTATTTTATACGGTTTCACTTATTTACACAAAAAAATCAGACAATTAAAAGCAACTTAATACATGGAATTCTGACCAGATCTGAAAGTAATGAAATACAGAAGAAAGCATACTTTTATTTCTTTTATGTTACTTTACAATTTTCACTTGCCATGCTACTAAAAACATTCTTTTTAACACTTATTTTAGAAAAAACTTTTCATGATCTAGACCAGAAAATCAAACTAATTTTTAAACAGCAGTTCTTAGTAATGAAACAATAAAAATAATATTCATAAACAAATGTATGCATCATAACTCCTAGAGGTAGATTTACTGGGAGAATGAATGAAGTAGAAATGCATTAATTTGGTGGAAATAAATGGTTTTAGAATGAGACATTTTTTGAAAGTGTGTTCTGTCAAACTTTTGATTGCAATGTTTGTATTTGGAAACGATTCATACAAACTGCTACAGAAATAAAAGCCATTGCACAAACAAACGAACTACAGTTACTTTTACAAGTTTCAAGCAAGTCCATTAACAATATCTGGTATATATCAGAAGGCATGAAGAAGACCCTTTAAGAATAAAAAATTGCTGTAGAAAATAATGTGAAAATTATGAAAGTGGAAAAATTAATAAGTTATTTTGGAGATACTACAGAGGCTGCATTTTGGGGGACGAAGTACTATTATTGAAAATAACGGTTAAAGTAGGGTACACGGTACACCCTCAGAGAAGCATGGCGATGGGGGCAAGGTGTCTCCTTAAGCCCTCCCTTAAATTATACTATGCGCACTGATAGAAATGAATAAAACTTGCAGATAAGCGATTTTCTTGGCTCACCCTTCATACACTTTGCCCCAGCTGCATTGTAATGCCAATTTACTTTCAACAGCAAGTTTTCTCACTTCTCCACCGCATAATTACCCATTCACTTTTATAAGAAAGCCTCCAGAATTAAAACCGCCGCAGTTACCGCCAGAGTGGCACAAAATGCCTGTTTAAACTACTTCAGCAAGTTGTACCATATACTAGACTTCAGCCAAAATAACTAATACTATGCTCCTACCATTTTTTCTTTATCTACTTTCAGTGGAATGACACCATAAAATTTCATTTTTTACCAGTTTCTTGGACTCTAAACCTTATGGGATTGAGAAAACTTGTGAGTGAATTGTGAAAAAAAGAAGGCCCTAACAGATTTCCGAGCCAGTGTAACCACTATTATTTGAAATTAGATTATCTGAGAATCCAATCCAGAGGTCTATTTCACAATTAAAAAAGACAATAAAAACTATTTTTACTGCAAATGAACATGTAATATGTACCAAATTGACATGAATTACTAAACATAACATCGTAAATTTAACTCTAGGCTACAGTAGAGAACACTAAACAACCAAAAGAAGTTGTTTACATCAGCACTTTGTTCCACTGAAGCAAGAGGAAAATTCAATATGGAGTAGTGTGAGTGTGTGTGTGTGTGTGTGTGTGTGTGTGTGTGTGAGTGTGTGTGTGTGTGGGGGGGAATATTTCATTGGCATAGGGTGGTAGGCAATATACGTAATATAGTTTATAATAAAAAAAAATATAATCTGGACAAGATACTGAAATAATTGTATTGCTTCTGATTGTTACTTTCTTCATTACATTATTTCATTTTTGTAGTATCATGGAGTACTGTTAATATTCTATCCACAGAAGCAAAAGTTACGTTGCAGTAATTTTGCGATTTTATCCTTATTTGTGTGTGTCACGATAACTGTCAAAGTGGTTAGCTAAGTTTCTGTCGGGTTTTGAATGCTCTTCTGATTCTTTCTGATTTGTGCGTTTTGATTATCGAGCTTTTGTGTTGTTAGCAAAATAATTTTTTTCATGTGTAGTGCCAAAAGAGATGTTTGATTAAGTGGATTCAAAACCATGAACTGATTGCCAAAGGGTTTATGTGTACTAAATGAAAGTGTCCTACTAGACTCATTAAGCAAAAGGGGTTTGAGGAGTAGATGGCTTTAAGGAGAAGTGTAGTAAGAAGACAAGGACCATACCTGTAGGTAAGAGATCTGAGAGAAAGGGGACATGGTTTGCAAAAAGGAAAATAAGAATGAAAGGTCACTATCTTTCCTTGGCATCTCTAACTTATATGAAATATGAAGAAATCACACTGAGGTAAGTTTTATTAATTTGTTTCAGAGCATTTTTTGTAATTTTAGGTGAAGTACAAAAGGAGAAACCCTAACTTCTACCTATTACCCCCCTCCTTTTGTTTCTGTAGGATGCAGTTATCCACTTCAACCAAAATATATTATTTTTCTCACATTTTTTCCTTAATTAACCTTCTAAATCACACACTTGGTCAATTACATTTCTGGAGTTTTTAATTTTTCAGCATCTCCTTTCCCTGTCCTCATCAAACCCACAAAACAGGGTGAAATACACACACACACACACAGTCAATCTTATTTTATAAGGTGATGACATGATGACGGAAAAAATTAGAGAAAAGAAAACTTACTTTTCCGCGAATTATGGAGCAATCCATGTTGGCGACTGAAAGTGAATTTACAACTGATGACTCTGAAGTAGTTTCAGTATCGCTTTGAACTTGATTAATAACTGCAGCCATAGTGTTGCAATTTAACAATTAGTAAGACCTTAAATTGTGATGCCTTCTTTACATCACATTACATGTGGATTACATCATGATGCATCATCCTGAAATCCTTTGTTTGTAATATTCCTGTGAATATACAATTGAATAAAACAATTATTATGAAATATCAATAAAAAGTAAGTACACATTACCTGGAAAAAGAAATGCATTGAATATTCTGTCTTCTGCAACAAATGGAATGGAAATAAAGACTTCATAAATATCATACCACCACAGTGAATTGAATTGTTCTTGTACGTAAGTGAAATTAATGCAGAATTCATATTTGACTATACTCATTTTATAAAAATGTATTGGCATTAAAAAAGAATGTAATTAATGCTAAATATAGTATCACTAATAATGCTAAACATACCACTCTACAATGGAACAGTCCAAAACTTCCATTACAACAAAATAATTAATTGGCTACGTCATCGTATGTATGCGTTCATTTACACAATCTCCAGCATGAAATCGTCCATCGCAATTAAAAAGCCCGGTACCTTCATTGACAGCCGCGAAGCCATAATGTGCTCCAATGTGCTGTCTTCCATAACACATGCATTGCCAACTTTTGTACGATACATCCACAGCACCCCACAAACACATAACCAGCACATAACACGACATGTACGCGCTCACGAACACATTGACAATTGCCAGATAAAGTAATCAAAATAAAAACGCCAAGATTGATGCCACACTATTAGTCACTTCCGTGACTGACTTACCATTTATGGTTCCTTCTGCCACGTATGACAGCACGAGTTGAAAGGGAAATTCATACGTGAATTTTATCTTGTCTGCGCCGCAAATACGTAATCGACGCCGACCACTGTCCAAGGTCCAAGCAAACAGTGGAAAATATCCAGTAGAGGTAAGCTGACCCTAAAATTTTAAAACCTTTCACTACTTACAAAAAATAACTTAACCAAACACGTTCTCACTGAACGGACATACCGCAGGTAGTCCTGCCAAACTAGCCAGTTACTACTTTCGAATTAAACACAATGTGTGTTCATACATCTGCAAAGGAAACGTTTACTGATGAATGCAAAAACGTTTTTTGCAATCAACACATTTCACCAAAAATTATCGAGCCCTTAATTTTTTTAAGTTAACAAATTTCTTCTGAGTCACTCAAAAATTAAAATTATTTTCAACCGGTGTGCATTTAATTTCCTCTTAAAGGTAATATTATTATAATAAATTTCTAAATGGAGAAAACGTAAGTAGAAAAAGATGAAACTAAAATTGCTGCATAGTAAATTTTATTCAGCATAACATTGTGCTTAATAAGCAGATCATGATTCAGATTTCCTTTTTTTTTTTCAGGTACAAAATAATTTATTGTGAACATCCCCAAAACATTTTAAATTTATTATTCATTTTTGTTTTTAAATCATGACTGGATTCACTAAAAAAAAATTATTTCCCCAATTCAAACAAAGGAAGTTAGGATTATCATTCATTTGTTTGTCCTCTTTTGTTGTCTGGCTGGAACACTAAAGACTAATTCCTGATAATGAAATGCAAAGTTTAAGTTAACAGATAATGTAAGTTTTTGATATACAACAAACATTTGCTAAAAATTGTTTCAATGATACCGCTTCTGAAATTAGGATTTACACTACAATATACTTTTACAGGAAAGTTTTAACGGAATCACACAAAATATTTCTGAACCATGTGAACAATTATAAAGCATTGCTGTAAAAAAATCAACATGTTTAAGGGAAAGAATAAATGCATAAAAGAGTAATCCTTGTTATTAATCAGTGGAATGGAATAAGGACTACAGAGTGGGAAACATTCCAATTTTTGTATGTATCCTAATAAACTTTTACTTCACATGTTCCAAACGCATTATCAGTAAATTTGACACCATTAGGTGAAGCTAAAATAACATCTTGCAAGGGAGTAACACAGATCTTCATAGAATAGTTTCAATTGGTTATATGAAATTGCGCTCATGTCGCAGCTGTGTCATTAATATCATTCTTCAAAGAGGAAATATTTAATACAATGTTATTTGAGCGACACATAGAAATACATTTCACTATTTTGTCGTGTTAGTACTTACATTACTACAGGTCCCAAACACTGTTACTGAAGGCGAGGTTACAACTAAAAAAGAAGATTATAGTGGCGTTAGCACGACTGGCACAGTCTCACATGGTTTGTGCGTGCCACATCAGTATTTACACACGTGCACAATATAATTTGGAGCTTACGTTTCCACAAATGTTATTTATTTCACTCGCCTTAAAAGTCAAAACCTTAATGCAAGTACTCAGCACTATTTGTAGCAGTTTTACCGAAGTTTGCTCTTCACATTTATTGGAGCTATTTTGCGACCGCAGTTTGCGACATTGCAAAAAGGTACCTCTCGTGAGTCCACTACACAACACTCCTATAATATTACTTGCCGCGATTTTGTAATTATTGTTTCTAAATTATTGACTTATAAGGCCTACGTCAGAGATTTTCAATGTACCCAAGAACTGGCATATGTTTCGTTTGGAACCACGATGAAACAATGTTGTGTTGGCAATAGTTGGGACCGGATGGCATGCGGTTGTGTAACCTCGTCATTTACTGTGCATGCTGGATTTGTATAGCAGGAATTTTGAAAACCCGTAATTGATGCGAAAGTATTATTTTTCATTTGAGAACTAACTATTGAACTTTATTATTTGGTGTTAAAAGTTGAAACTTTCGCGTGTGTCATTTTGGTTCAAAGTCGTAAGAGACATGCCAAGATATTACTCGCGCAACTTTTCTTGGACGATGGATTGAAGAAATTCGTGTAGAGTGGGGGTATTAGTTACAAAATCTGCCACTAGATTTTATTAAGTAATGCCAATCTCTGGAGAATCAGTCATGCCTTCGCAACGTTCTCAATAATTTGCGTTCTAACTTTCTCAGGTGTTCGAGGTATCTCCTCCTACCCCTTAATACCTGCTTTGATCATTTCTTTAGATTTTTTGAGAAAATACCGGATAGAAGTTCTCGTCTTCAAAAGAAAATTGTTTCTATTTCGCGCCAGTGAAGATGTGTTTGGAATGTTGTCATTAGTGTTCACTGCGAGCGTTTGCCTTCATCTGCTTATTATGCCAAAGAGGGGGAAGCAAGGTCATCGTTCAAGAAAAGTTACGCGAGTAATTATGAAACTTGCTTCTTTTCATGACACAATAAGAAATGAAAATTTTTTGTTTCTTCTTTTTGAATATTTTTTCTAATCTTAATAATTCTATATATTTTTAATATCTTAATAATTGTGTATTTATACATGTCAATAAATGAATTAAGTGAAGTGGCCTGATATAATGCATAATAGTATATGCAATTAGTTTATAATGTTAAGCTTTATTGTATGAGTACATGTTTAGAAAACCTGCGTCTTTCGGAGTGATTTTTCAAATTTGTACAAATGTAATAAAGCAAACAAACGAGTTGCATACTATATGTATATATAATATATATATATATATATATATATATATATATATATATAATAGTATATATATATATATAATATATATATATCGTATAGGCGGAGAGAATCGGGGAGGTAGAGCTAAATGGAACAGCCCGACCACCGTTTATACTCGCCACAATATCAAATCCGCGAGTCGTCACAGGCGTAAGATGTTTCGCCAAATTTAAGTTCGCATCTCTTATAAATGTATAAGCTGTTATACTATATATATTATATAATAATATTATAGTATGTATATATACTATAAACTAGATTATATATATTAAAAATTAGTAAGTATATTATATATAACTATATAACTATTATAAATATATTATATATATATATATATATATATATATATATATATACGCTACGATTGTCTGAATGTGTGGTGACGCAATCATTCGTGACATAAAATTAATACGTCATCATTTGTGCCGTAACTTGCCCGATTATGAACGATTTCTTGCAACAAAAAAGGTTCTTTTATAATGCTGGAATACAAAAAAAAAGTTTTATTTGATTTATTTATTGTCATAAAACAGTAATACAGTATGTGACTTACGGGAGAATGTTTCATGAGCTTCAGAATCAAATTTAAAAATTACTTCCGAATGGAATTCATGGTATTGCTTTAGATTGGTTATGTTCGTACCTTAAACAACGATCTCAGGGAATAGAAATATCGAATTGGAATGAGAATAACATTATTCACTCACATTTAGATTCGTTGCCAATTATTGCACATGGGTGTCTGCAGAGTTCGATTTTGGGCATTAATCTCTCCCTACTATATAAACGATAGGCCATCGGCGATTCGAAGTGGGAGAACAGTTCTCTTTGCGGATGATTCTAATATTCTTTGCTGTAAAAAAACAAAAAAGTACAATATCAATTGCTTCAAATTGGTTTCATAACGAATTACTAGTAAAGAAAGGGAAATTCATTTCAATGCAGTTTTCCATTTCTAATAAACAATTATAAAATTAATTGCAAAAGAACGACGTGCAACTGATTGAAATTGATGCAATTTTTCGCTCTGCCATTCAGTCAAACCTCAAATGAATCCATTGAAATGTAGTGAACGCAAAATAAAGTTCATTAAGCTACGCTTTCAAAATTCAAATTCAGTTGGCATTCATACTGCTCATGTTTATTTTGCGAATGCTCATTCCCGCCTGAGATATGACTTAATATTGTGGGGAAACACATCCTATTAAAGCAGCAGCAGCAACTTTCTTTAATATTCTTGGTATGTAAAGAACTGTTGAATTATCTATATGGTAAGAGTGTCCCTGAGATGGTTAGGCGGAAGAGCAGGCCCTATGGCCTGAGCCTCGCCATTAATAAAGACATTATTATTATTATTATTATTATTATTATTATTATTATTATTAAAGATTACGCGTTCTTTAAGAAATGTAGTGTCACACATTTTGATATTTCGGACCTATTGTTAGAGTGCATTTATTGGACATGAAGTAAGAAGTTGCCGTGGGGATATACAAATGGTCATATCAAGCTAATTAAGAAAATGTATCCCGCGAGACCATCTCGAATTTGGATGCTATTTTGTATACCAAATTCTGGATAGCGAAGACGTATACTCGTAAGTCAATATTACTAATTTCCAATGGGCGTAGAAACTGAAAGAAAACTGTTTAGCCTCCGGTCATGTGAGAAGTGTCTATGGATTTGCTGATAGCCGGGGACTCGGAAAAATATAAAAACATTATTAAAGAGTTTCGATTGTGATTGAAAAAACAACAAATATTTCATTGTGTTATTCCGCCTATTCTTATAGCGTGCGTTCTTATTGAATTCTCACACTCGGCACGTCTCTCCTTTCGACACAGCTGACGTCACGCGACAGCTAGGTTGCAAGAAAGAGACCGCTTGCCATTAAATATTTGCTATACACGTGTTGCGTTTTGCAGCAGCAACTTTCTTTAATATTCTTGGTATATAAAGAACTGTTGAACTATGTATATGGTAAGAGTGTCCCTGAGATGGCATACTATTGTGGCGTCGTCTTGTGCGAGTAAAACACAGGCACGGAGTTGTTCTGTATAGATTTATTGACAATTTTTTTCTATACACTATTTACACTCCTCGGAAGCGAGCGCTGCACTCCCAGCACTGCACATCCCTGAGGCATATCCGCCTCAGTCACACGCAGACCCCAGCGGGTTGGCGCCACTCCTGGTCTTTTGTCCCGTGGCAACCGCCATACCTCGAGCCGAAGCTCGCGATAACCCCTGGCAGGTTAAAAGTACCTTCCGCGCCGCATTTCGGTACGACAACGAATGGCCACGGCTGGTTACTCTCCAGCCGCCTCGTGAGGGGTCACGTGACAGACCTCCCATGCCGGCGCCGTCATCCCATTCCGAAACGTTGGCCTGGTTGCAATTTGGAGCTCAGCTGCCCCGCGGCTGGACTCGCCCATCATCTCCCTCTGCGCCAGTTGACACCCGCTTTCCGAGACGCCCACCCCGACCCTTGAGAAGGGCCCGCCTCTGGTGGCCTACCCCTTATCGCCAAAGGACTGCCCCCGCCCACTCGCTGGCCTCGCAACATGTGTGTTCCATCTGGCCAATTGGCACGATGTTATAATATTCTGAAGAAATACATCTTATAACTTCCAGACTTTTAGATTACAAAAAAGAATTGTACGAACAATAAGCAAATCCCATCCACGTGATTCTTCTAAGCCTCTGTTAATCTAGATATTTTACCATTACCTTGTCTCTTCATATATATAAATCAGTGGTTTTTGTCAAAAATGACTTACTTAAGGTCGGGAATATATTTTCAGTAAACACCTTTGTCTATAACTACAACACTCGACGTAGTAATCATATTCATGAGGTAACAGTATGAACAGCTAAAACACAAAATCAACAGTATCAACAACAAAAAAAAAATAAATAAACAAAAAATTCACATATACTACATGTACATCATTTTACAACACATTGCCAGTAGACATTAAACGATTAATTCGAAACAAAAGTTTAAGTCCTAAGTAAAATATTGTCTGCCGCACAACTGTTTCTATACAATTAGAGACTATACCGAGTATTCAAAAGGAAAGCAGTATTAATTTTAACCATGACATTTAATGTATTATATATCATTTGGATTGTATAATTCTAAAGAACCTGTAACAAGTATTGTACTTCAGCTTCTGGGTCAATGATCCCCATCTCGATCAGGTTTTCGTCCGTATTCCCTGATCCTCGAACAAATGCTGAGAAGGCCCCTGGTTTTGCTTCTGGACATAAATGTAACTTGAAATTAACTTCTCCCACAGCACGTCACACACAGGTTTTAACTGTTTTCGACGCAAATAAATAAATGAATAAATAAACAAATAAATAAGCAAACAAATATATATATATATATATATATATATATATATATATATATATATATATATATTAGTACGGAGTTGCTCTACAAGCTGTCGCCGTTTCTCCGCCTCTCAGTCTCCATGCCTCTCTGTTGGACTATAGATCATCTGGCATTTCTCTTGCCGTCATAGCCTCTTGCACTCCCTGCTGCCATGCAAGTCTGGGTCTTCCTCTCTTCTGTCGGCACCCATTTCAGAACTCGTTTTTGCCATCTTTCATCTGTCCATTCGCATAACATGACAGTACCAGACGATGTGTTTTTCTCTTTTCGTCAAGGATAGATTTCTTTACATCCATTTTCTTTCTTATGTCGTCGTTCCTGATTCTGTCACGTCTGCCTATAACAGCAACTTCTACGCAGTAGTCCATTTCAAAGGGCCAGCAGCTTCCCTTTTGTTCTTTTATCAATCTCCTTTCATTTTTCACAAGAAGGCATTCTATTTCATTTTTACCAACTGCCAGGTATTCATATTTGTCCATAAAATATTTAAGTCCTGCTTTTAAAAAATGTTAATTAAGTTTACGGATCATGAAACTCAAGTCGTCTGCATCTTCTCCAATTACTACCTGGTCATCGGCAAAATATAACGTAAACAATTTATCCTCTCCGATCGTCATTCCATTACTCTGCACTGTTTCTCCCACTGCTGTAAAAATTTTGATGCAGATATATTTTAAACAGTGTTGGGGAAAGACAGCAACCCTGACGAAGACCTTTGCTGACTGGGAATGGATCCGAGAGGCCTGCTGTAGATCATAATCTGAGAATGTTATTCTGATATAAATTCTGTGTGGCTCCAATTAAGTTTACACTGATTTGAAGTCCATTCATTTCTTCCCATACTCTAGCAACCGGTACGTTGTCATACGTCTTCTGAAGATCAATGAAAACCCAGATGAACTTCCCTACCTCTCTCTTGTTCTCTTTTTCTATAATTGTTTTAATGTAAATATATTGTCTATGACGACCTGCCGGCAGTAAAACCACATTATTCTCTCCTATTTTTCCTTTTATTTCTTCTATTTTATTTCGTATTATTTTGCTATACAGTCTACCTATAGATACAATAACTGCTATTCTCTGTAGTTTGTTTTCATTGCTCTAGATTTTTTCTTATGGATTGGTGTTAGGTGAGACGTTCGCCACTCCTAAGGAGGGTTTTCTCCATTCATGCACCTTAAAAAACATGTGTTTGAGCATTTGGTACAGTTTGTAGGGACCATATTTCAGTAATTCTGCCGGTATATCTCCCGGACCAGGTGACTTATTGGATTTCATTGTCTTAAGTTCTTTTTCTAAAATCGTTAATTGTCGATCTACCCTTTGCTCAAATTTTACTTCCGTGGTGTGATTGGAAGTTGTTTTCTAGAAGCAGTCTTTCCGAAATACTCTTTCCATTTATTGATTCAATGTTTGATAAGCGATATTGTTTTTCTCATTCGATTTTATAGATTTAATTACTTTCCAAGGCTTCTGAGCTCCGTGCTCCACCTATAATTGTTCGCTATAAAAATCGCATTTATTCAGCCATAAATTTATTCTTCCTTGATAATATTTCTTGTTTTACTTCTCTACTTATTGCTTTGTACTGTTAAATTAGTTTCAGTTTTTTTGTCACTAAGCCATTTTAAATACAGTTCTCTTTTCCTCTTAAATCTTTTCTTCTAGACTTGTGTTCCCACCAATACTGTTTCGGTTTTAATTTACAAATACCTAAAGCCGCCTCTGCGGCCTGGTGAATACACTTGTATGTGTTCATATTCTTTTTCTATTGGCTGTGTTTAACCAATAGTTTAGTTTCAAGCCTTTTTCTGTAGAGATATGCTGTACTTTCATCGAAAAGACTGCTTAATTTGTATTTGGTAGGGTTTCATGACAAATCCCTCCTTATTTTCTTTATCTGTGCTATTCAATGTAAATGGTATGAATATTTATCAATTACCAAACAATGATGGCTTACATTGGCTCCCCGTTTCACTGTAACATCTTGGACTTTGAGTGAAGTGTTTTCTTGCTTAGTTACACAGAGGTCTATTATAGATTTTAGTTTTTTTGTATGTTGGTACCAGGTATACGTATGAACATCTTTATGTTGGAAGAAAGTGTTATTCAATTTCCTTTCATACTCTTCACAAATATTAATGTCTTTTTCCATTGTCATTGCATGTTTCCTCACCATGTTGCCCCACAATATTGTTTTTGTCTCTTCTAACTCTGTCGTTAAAATCTCCTGCAAATATTATTTCATGGGACTTTGGAATACCGTCAAGGGTTTCTTTGACTGTCATTTCAAAATCATCTTTCTTAGTCATTGGAGCATCATCATTCAAATTATATATTCCTATGACACTTATGTATTTTCCTCTGATTTTTAACACTACTTTAATAAGACGTTCGTTTATATACTCCCAACTTTTTATACATTTACCGAATCTTTCATCAATAACAATAGAAATTCCGGCTTTGGCATTTTCATGTTTGTTTACGCCACTGTAAAAATGCACAAAGTTGTTCAGTGTTTCGCTTCCCTTGCCTTTCTTTTTTGTTTCAGACCAGACGGCTATATCTATGTTTTTTCTCATCATTTCCTGGATTACTCCTTGTTGTTTATTTGATATACTTTGTACATTCCATATACCAATATTCAGAGGCCATTTTCTTTGCTGATGTCGTTTCCCTTTTGAAATATCCGAGGCATTCCTATAAGTGAGATTTTTAGCGGTGTGATGTTTCACGTGTGCAGGGTGCTGGCCTACAGCACAACCCCCAAACCTGGAGGACCGGAGCTTTTATTTCAGGGGTTCCCATCCCTTAGGCTGATTGCTTCCACCATAGCTTAAGGAGTCCAGCCTACCCCTGATCCACTCTTTAGGGATGAATTAATTCCCAAGGTTAGTGAATCCCACCTTCTCCTGTTGGATCGTGCACCATTGTGGCGTCTTTGCCGGGGCAATAAATTACAGACGTGAACGGTTTGTAAATATTAAGTATTTATTTTAATAAAAACACTCTAACACCATAATACTATATACAATATTTACAAATAACAATACTGACCGTTACTAGAAGGAACTTTCCCTGGTTACCACCACCGCTGGCTCGAATAATTAACTATCATATTCGGTGTGATGCACCAGTAACTTATGTGAGCATACCAGCGAGTATGCCGCACCTCCCGTCTCGACGTAGCACGCCGGCTTCGGTTCCCTGCCTCGGGAGCATAAGCATTAAAATGCAGCGCCGCGGACAACTCACATGACGTCCTACCGACGCGCCCAAGAATCAGAAGAACGAGCTTAGGTCGAGGTCCGTTTATATACCTTTGGGGCCGGCTGACGGAACTGCGTCATCCCGCTGTGTCCGCCGCCGCGTTTCTGCCGCCTCCGGGGTTTCCAAGTTTGCCACCCACGACACGGCACCCCTTCCCTTCCACTCCCTAGCCTTTGTGCAGCCCAGCGTCTCTTCCGCCAGCGCTGTCCATATGGCTGATATTTGGTACGTTTGTACTGGCGACAGATATGACGTCACACCATTTACACTTGGATGCTTCTGGGGTGCTACCCGCGTAAGACCTGTCTACTACACTCTAAAGAAATAAGGAAGGAAGATGAGGAAAGACTCTCTAGCCCTCGAAACCTAATAGCGTCGGAGTCAGAAAAAACTAAGTGTTGACCAAGGGAGGCCGATAGAATAGATGAAAGCATTGTGGCACAAGAAAGTTAAAGATGTCGCAATGGTAGATGACGGAACCATAACGATATAAACACATCGTTATGGGGGAAGGACAAAAGATAGGAAAGAATGTACGATTAAGATTGGGATGGATAGGACGTGGTAGGACACGACTTAGTCTGTCCCCTCAGTTTTGGCTTGTCCGGCATGGGTGACCCTACCAGTAGTCATGCGTAGAAAATAGTCAATGCCACCGCCGGCTTAGCCCTCCACTTCACTGAAGCACACATCCTCCCCGCCCGCACGGACAGTGCTACTTCAAGGCGGTGTCCCCATGGGAGGAATAAATAAATAAACAAACAAACAAAGAAAAAATAAATAAATACATACATACATAAATAAAATGAAGTGTTTTTCGTGTGCTTTCTCTGTCCGGGTGTCGCCGCGTCGGGGGCTGTGATGCACCAGCCGTGAGGAAGTCCGCGACGTAGTGGTCGACACGTCGTCATCACACTCTTCGACGCGGCGGTATCTTAACTGTCAAGAGTACTCACAACAGCTTACAACTTCCCGAGAGTGTTTGTGTTAAAATATTTAATTTATTGCAGTTTTATTCGTTCTTGAGCAGTATGTGTGTGCCACGAGCGAGAATGTTTGTGTGAATATGGAAGCGTGCGTTGGCGCGTTGTGTTGCAGCTGAGTGTCCCCGGCAATGGCGTGGGCTTCGTGGCTGGCGTGGCTGGCGTGCGCGGCGGGTGGTGCGGCTGGGATGCTCTTCCCCCGCGAGTCGGAGTCTCGCGAAGTGGTGGCGCTGGACGGTATCTGGAGGTTCGCGCTCGGCGGCCGAGAGGAGGTGGATGTAGGCTTCCGTCAGCGCTGGTACCTGCGCGAGCTCCCGAAGGTCGGTCTTTCTCAAATCCCCCCTCCCCTTCCCTCCCGCTCTTTTCTGTTGATTCATTGGGTTGTGTGTCGGTGAATGACTCATCCCACTAGCGGACCACCAAAGGAAATAGTGAGACGAAAATGAAACCTGCTCCGCTTTTATAAGTGTACTTTGCTTAATGCGAGAAAAAAGAATGATATTATTGCCCCTTTTGAAATTTTTTATAAAATCCTTTTACTTCAACCAAAAATTAGGCAAAGGCCTTTCATATTTTCAAAAAAAGGCCTACCGGATCTTATTAAAAGAGTTTTAGGACAGATTTCATTTAGAACAAAATCTCTATCGTCAGTATTGTAGTTTTATAACGTAATTTTTGCAATTTTCGAAAATACAGAATTCACTGAAAATGACACCAGCGCCATTTTTATAAGAGTACAATAGAGACGTTTGTAGCAAATTGTTTTAAATGAAATAGACCATATTGTAATAAATTGAACAACGAAAATCTGCGTATAGGTTACAATCAGTGAGAAAAAACGCGCAATAATAAGAATTCTTTGATTTTCAAACTGCCGTGTCGATATGTATGATACGGAATTTTTTCGTATAACTTATGCGAAACGCCCTAACTCTTATCCTCCGTTGTTTATTTAATTCATCCAAATACCTACACTTTTTTTCGCATAAGAGGACAAGAAATAAGAGGGATCAAAGCAAAGCACAAAAAAATTAATTATGCTTGAATCGTGTGAATCACAATACTCACCCATAAGGGAAACGTGGATATCTCAGGAAGAGATGACAAGAGATGACATTTTAATTATACGTTACGCATGAAAACACTCACAAATCAGAGATCAAACTGAACATTTATTTCATTAATCACTAAAACAGAAAATTTCATAAATGAATTTTACAAATTTATTCAGCATACATCATGGAATCTTGGCGTAATGATAACAAGAGAAATGTAGGTCTTCGTTTCAATTGATTCTATATAAACTCAAAGTAATGGTTTCTCACATCTAATAAAAAAAAGACATAAGCACTGTGTTTCAATCTTAGAGTTTTCTCTCTTTATGCTATTAAACTACAACAAACTCTGCCTCACTTTAAAAATAATTTGTAAACAAAACGTTTTGGTACACGTTATTACGTATTTCAATACCGACCCAGATTCACTGCGACAATGCCCCTTCGGCTAATGTTGACCCGAAAAGAGATCGACGCCCCGGGAAGCCCTTCTATTTCACCTTTCATCAAAATAAACACTTCTGTGAGAAAATAATTTACTTGCATTCCTCAAAGCAGGTGCGCCTATATGCGAGTTTTATTTCTACAAACTTTTAGAGTAATGTGACCTGCGCGCGATGCCGTTTGTTGACTGCAGTTTGAACGTGGTCTAAAGAAAAAAAACAAAAACTAGTGGTGCGACAGAATGGCACAGACTTTCCTGTATTAGTATTTTATTTCCTTTGGTCTTGGCTAGGTACTCGCACTTGCACATACTCTTGCCACCTGCCATCTAACGCCGCCAAAGTATATTTTCTTGAAATTTTCTTAATTCTTTGGTTTTCTAATAGTAGAACGGAAATATTATTTTAAGAATATTAAATATCAGTAAAAACTCGTCCTAAATGGCAATTTTCTTTGAAACATTTTGAGCCTTTTTTAAGAAAATGGCGTACAATCGCTATTGTAAATTCGAAATTTGAAGCTCTTTTTAACAGAACGTTTTTGAGTTTTTGAAAAACTTAATTTGAAGTAATTTTAAGTACTTTAACTCGCAAACATAATAGTGTTTACAAATTGCTGGAACTGTGCATGTCAAAGACGTGAGAGATCTTTCAAAAGAGATACATGCGTATTTTAGAAAAAAAAGCACCGAAATGAACTTTACGTCATATTAAAGAGTGTAATTATCACAACCGGTTCGAAATGTTTGAAGAACAAATTTGGAGCTGTTTTTGAGAAAATGGCATTTAAGCGTTTCTGAAAATGAAGACTGTTGAGGCTGCAAAATATTGCTTAAGTAAATTGGGAGAGCATTAGCAGAAACTGCAACGAACATCGCCTTTTTTATCGAAAGTTCTCATCAGACGAGTATGTTCTGGAAAAGAAACGATACATAATCGACAAAGATTATTACTTTGCCGAAGAAATCAATTAGTATTGAAGAGATTGTCATGGTTACCTCTGTCCGGACGAAAATAAACGTTTTAGTAACGACTCTTACTCTTTACGTTTACAAGCTCGTCTCGTTTTGGTGTTTGAGTCACGTAAACTGCAGAAAGGTGATGGGAATTGCCTGGCAGCGCCCCGTATCGAACTTTGAATGCGCCCAATAGATTTCATTTTGCTTCTGTGCGCGATGGCCACGAAACTGCCCGCGGCTCCTCTGATTATCATGACAATGCGAGCCCGATACGTATAACGTGGAAATAGTTGGATTCCGAGAAATCTGACAATGATACATCTTTCATTGCAGCCGCCCAGGAGCGAATGCAATCTTTTTGTGGCTGTTCTATCTAACAAAAGTCAGTTGACAATCAATCTGAATGAACTTTGTACGAAAGAAATGAGTAGTTGGTCAACTGGGAAGGAATCTCCTGAGCGGGAAGTTCGAAATGCATTATCTTTTGTTCTTAAATGCCTTCAAAGAGCAGCGAAACTGGGCTGTTTGAAGCGAGGCGCCAAATTTGAAATAATTAGGCGGCCAATGTGTCAACATAATTTCCGCCCCCGAAAGGAATAGAACCGGGCCAAGAGGCGTAGAATTAGGACGTCGTAGAAACAACTTACTTTCTGTAGGCAGCGAACTGTGCCACTCTGCTTCGATTTATTTGCTTTAAACATGTTTGACCAAGCCGTGAGGCACAGGGGGTCAACAGTTGTCGGCCCTGATTTCGATGAATAATTGTACGAGCGACCCAAGGCCGGAACTGGAACGTCAAAGAAATTAATAGAAGAAAGATTTGAATGTGTTTGGTTGAAATTGAATGCTCATTTACTTGCATTCGAAAGGCGAGATTGGATAGGAACATTTATATACAGAGAATCGCGTTCCCATACCCCGTGGGTAAAATAAGGTGTTAGTAAACTGAGTACCGGGCGGAGACCTGGCAATTCGAAGGGCGAAAAAACACTGTAAACAGACTAAGCAACAAACACGATCGTTGTGCGAACGCATGACACGAATACCATTTCCGATCGTGCCGTCCCGCCAATACGGCGGTGAGAATTCAAAAATCAAATGGAGGTAATATAAGAAAAACAATGAGTTAAGATATATTTACCACAGATTATATCACTGAGCAAATACGTGACTCGAAAATTCAAAACGAAACAAAAAATTGCTTGGCGCTGTAAATATCCAAAGCGCAGAAAAAAATTATAATTGAAAATAAAGAAAATAAATTTATTGGTCGATGCTGAATGTACCCTAAACAAAAACATGTCGAATTCCTGAGCGAGTTGTGTCGACAATACGAATGAAGAGTCAAAAAGGAATGAATCCAGTACCTATGATACTTTTAATCAATGCAGTTTGGTACATTGATTGGTTTGTTTTTTATTATAGATATCAACTGAATATACAAACTAGTATGTGCGATCACCTTCTCTTTGAAGCAGGATGCTTCAAACATTTTAAAACGACTAGTGTTTTGCCAGAATTGCAATTACGAAGACAAGTCGCGCAATAGGACTGACAAATAAAATAAATAAATAAATTCTGATGCGAACCATTCTTGTGTCAGTGCACGGTTTATGTCCTTTCGTAACGCTTCCACATTTTGAGGATGGGTTTTACTGTGAGATCAAATAGGACAATACGATGAAACTTTCTTTGCCTGTTGATCTTGTGTAGTTGTGTGAGTGCGTGTGTAGATAAGCGAGTTTGATTACAATTAGATATTTTGTCGTCACCACTCTTGCTTCACAGGACAGGGCGTCTAGAGCATGTTATTTTGAAAGGTTGCACAATTCTGACGTTTTCCTGGCTGTATATTTAAGAATCCTACCAGCAGAGAACGATAAGTCTAATTTTCATTAAAATGATTGGGAGTATAATTTTAACTCCTAAAGAGAAGAGTCACTGTGGAGTGAGTGGCAAAATTCAAATTAGCACTGTAAAAAGTGATTTGGCTAATTCTGTTTTGATTTTATGAAAGAAAAACAAAGGAAATGGCAAACAGAAAATAGTATTGAAGAGCAATTCGGGGATGCCGATTGCATCTTTCAACACGATCGAGAACCTGTCCATACTGCACTGCCTGTGGTGAAGTGGTTACGACAATAACATCCCTGCAATGGACAGAGCCCTGACTTAAATCCTATCGAACGCCTTTGGGAAGTTTTGGAACGCTGACTTCGTGCCAGGCCTCACCGACCTACACCGATATCTCTCCTCAGTGGAGGACTCCGTGATGAATGGGCTGCCATTCGCTAATAAACCTTCCAGCGCCTGATTAAAAGTATGCCTACAAGCCTGGAAGGTGTCATCAAGGCAAAGGGTGAACCACCACCCTATTTAATTCCAGCATTACCAATGGAGGGCGCCACGAATTGGTAAGTCATTTTCAGCCACGTGTCCGGCTACTTTTGATCACACAGTGTACATAAAGAAACATGAGTCAAGACTTTGGGTCTGACATTTTGTGTGTGCCTGCAATTAAAATGAAAATCAAATAAATTACTCCAGACCTAGAAAACATTGTAATTATCTTAAATATAATATCGTCTCTATTCCTTATCATTACAACAGTATATAAATCACCGTACTTACTTAACACCATTAATTTCTCAGCACCTTTAAAGTCACTTCTCTAACTCAACTCCAACTCTAGCAATTGGGGATTTAATGCAAACGTGGGCCATTAGAGTAAAAGCGCCGGATAAAAAGTTGTATTACATTTTGTAAAATATTTGAATTCTAGCAAGCAGCTACCCTCGAACCGAATTAATTCATTTTGCTTGACCCCCTCAAAACGACTTATTTTATTTTCAATTCAACCCTC